AAAAAAAAAATTATTTATTCCTTCTCTTTCTAGCTTGTACTTATTTGAACAATGTCTAAGAACTTGGTATTACAACCACTTCTTGTGTCTGTTTGCCTCTCTTAAGAAGAATCGCTTTATGTATCCCCCAATTGTAAGTCGCTTTGGATAAAAGCGTCTGCTAAATGACTAAATGTAAATGTAAATGTAAATGTAAATTAATGGGCTAATTTTCATTTTTGGGTGAACTAACCCTTTATAAATGTAACACCTGTAATTATATCAAAGTTATTGATGTTGCTCTGAAAAAAAATGTAGGCTACTAGATCTCTTTGACTTCCATTAAATGTTGTTTCTTAAGTTCCCAAAATAATGTTGTTCAGTTGGAGACAGCGAAACACTGAAACGTACACTCACGATGCAGTCTGTCATGTGACCAATTGTGATGTTTTTGGCAGCTTTTGCTAATTACATTGAAATGACAATATTTCAATCAATACGGACAACATTGATATGGGGACCATGTACATAACTGTTTTAGATGATCCATATCATTGATATTAACAGACAGTGTGAAATGATGAACAAAGATTTATTCTATAATAGATAAACCTCATATATACATACATTTAAGCCATATCTAATACAAATTGTATGTACATTCTTAGATATTTATATATTAAGAGTGCCTGCTGAAAGAGTACAGTCAGTTGTTATTTTGTTTCATAATATGTATAAAAACATACAAAAATAAACAGAAACCAAAAAATCAGAGCCAATTGATCAGTGGAGGAGGGATGATTTACAAGAACTTTCTGTACATTTTTACTTAAAAAAAAAAAAAAAAAACCTTTTGGATAAATTTTGGACACAGACAGAGACTTTTTTCCCCAGCAGTCTTTTGTTTGACACTGTACACACAGGCGAGTCATAAGTAAGGTTAATGTAAAGGCTTGAGATCACCCCAATGAAACAGGGACCCACGTCACATTACTGGATACAGATGCACCAGTTTCCATGCAAAACACTACACTTCATAAAACTGGCAGATGTTATTTGAAAGTTTATAATCATCTTTTGTAAGTAACACCTCTCATTTTCATGGTGTGGGAAAAAAAAACAAAAAACAAAAAACTGTAAACCATGCATATGTTTAATTGTTCAATGGTTGCTGTTTCACATAATTGTTTTAAAGAATGTTTATTTTGTCCCTGCATGGAGTTCAGGTTTGAAATGTTATGATTACATTCATGACTAATTCATCTGGATAAGAACTCCAGATACACTAACATTCAAAAGTTTGGAGTCATTAAAATTTTTTTTAATACAGCAAGGATGCATGAAATTATTCAAAAGTGACAAAGACATTTATAATGATTTCTATTTTCAATAAATACTGTTCTTTTGAATTTTCTAGTCGTCAAATAATAATAAAAAAGCATCATGGTTTCCACAAAAATATTAAGCAGCACAACTGTTTAACAACATTGAAAATGACAAGAAATTCTTGTTTCTGAACAATCATGTAACACTAAAGACTGGAGCAATAGATGCTGAAAATTCAGCTTTACCATCACAGGAATAAATTACATTAAAAAAAATATTCAAATAGAAAATAGTAATAATATTTTACAGTATTACTTTTACTTTTTTATACTTTTAAATGTATTAAAAAACGCATTCTTGGTGAGCATAAGAGACTTCTTTCAAAAACATGAAAAAAATCCTACCTCCAAACTTTTGAACGGTAGTTTATATCATTGCTATGGAAAGCCATTTCCACCTGAAAATTAACAGGTAATTGTTTCCCATAATTGCGACTGTATATTGTTAATTGCTTTATATTTCGATGTGAATTTATATTATTTTGTTTATTTTCCACAACTACAACTATTTCCTGTACTTGTGATTTATTTAAATCTCACAATGTAACTTTACATGCGAATTTTTGGGAGAGGGGGAAGGAAGGGTTGTGAGTGCAAAAGTGCGACAATTAAAAAACAAATAAATTAATAAATCTGTTTAGAGAGACATCAGTCACCCAAATAACATGGACTCCCCTATTATCAGTCATTTTTTTATTTCCTTAATTTGGCTCAATTATGGGTAAAAACTGTACAAGCAGTTCTGCTAGGCCATGGCTATTGAAGCTCTACAAAAATAATATCATGTTGTCCACACTCTTCGCTTGCGGAAGTCCTCAGAAGCAAGGAGATATTTACAGCAGATGGAAAAAGATGAGAAGGTAGGTGAGATTAAGAGCAGAGTTGGCTAGATGTGAAAGGAACTGAGAGATCTTCCACAAGGCTTGCAGTCCTCCATGCTAAAACAAGCTTTGTTTTCTTTAAATGGAGACTTCGTATTCTCTCGTATCCTGTGGACCAAAGAAACAAAAAACATCAAATATAATATAATATATGTATATATCAAGTCATTATGTGAGAGGTAGGAATATGTAGCAAAACCAATGTTGGCTGTGAAAACAACACAAAAGAGATGCTAAAAATGGAGACGCCCTACGCCAGTGGTTCAAACCTTCTCGGCCTTGTCCATGTGACGCTATTCCATTGATCAACTCTCCTTACAGGCTCTTTCTTTACAACAGAATCCTAGAGAGTACCTCTGGTGGCTGCTTTGAATCATAGGTCTCTGTACAAATCAAAAATACCATGCAACTTAAGCATGAAAAAAATGTAAAAATAATCAGCAATGGAAACATAATGGAAGTTGGAGGAACAACTTTCAGGCAATTTTGTGCGGAAAACAATGTGTGATTTATGAAGTGATATTGTGGTGCTATCCAACAAATAAACACAATGTAGATTACTAAATGAGTATTAAAAAGCCTTCCGATGTTTATGAAAAATAAACAGCATGCTAAACCAATAACACATGTGAAATAAAAACAAACCTTTATAATCCTGAAATTAAATATCCAAAACGCAATATTGATTGGCTTTGCTTTTTGTAATCACAGTCTTTTGTAAGTCGAGACTTGTCATTAGACAGACATGTCTTTCTTCAAACCCAAGAGAAATGCTTGTGTTTGCATCATCTTCACATAATGCTAGTCGCCACTTCAGGGCATTAGTGCAAGAAGAGCTGGCACATATACATGCACAACATACAGTACAGTACACAGACACTCATCTGTCCAACCACACACACTTGCGTACAGTCAAACACAGACTTCAGACAGAAATCGAGCAGTTTAGTATATGCAGGCAGTGAGTGCCGCTGGGACTGTGTTATGAGTGCTACACCACACAGAGAGAGATCTGGAGGGACACTAGCACAGCACATAAGAGGTGCGAATAACCTGCAGTCTGTAATGCATGTTAGACGCAGGAGGCTGGGGAAAAAGAGCATGCATCAGTGTAAAAGTATTGACAGTCAAAATCTCACCTCATTGTTCTTCAGGGATGCAGATAGTGAGAGAGGAAAGAATGTGCAAATGTAAGTGATTGAGCAAGTTAAAAAGCATCAGATCAATTACATTTTTCATATTTTTGAATTTTTGGAGTTCAACAGCAATGGTCCCTTCCGCTTGTGAGATTGTCTCCCTTTTGTGCTTCACAGAAGAAAGAAAAAGTCACAGAAGTTTGGAGCGACATGAATATGAACAAATGATGACAATTGTAATCTGTAGTGTGAATGTTAATCTTGAGCTGAATGTTGAACAATGAGAGCAGGTGAAGGAGACGTGGCTGGTGATATGCTAACAGACTCCGCAATAATAAAGTTAAATGTTTAACTTCCTCTTTGGTGTTCTGGCCCAGTGATAAAACCATGTGTGATCGCTAATGACGAGATGATGAGGGTGTGGCTCCGTGCACCACTTCATTTCAACTCCAGAATGGCACTTTACAGCTAATTGGATTACAGAAATGAACCCACAATATGGCAACGCAGATGGTGTTCAAAGTGCAGATGTGCACCTGTAAGACTAAACACATGAGTACCTCTCAGTCCTACCATGAAATATTACTGCAAATGGATGTGATGGGTGGGGATAGGTTTCTATTACAACTGAGGAGGTGGTTGTTGATGAATGTAGCCTGTTTATAAATACATGCTTTACTTACTGCAGTCTCATAGATGGGGTTTACAAAAGCTGACTCTCCACTGATGTGATCATATTGTGGTGATGTGGACATGGAGAGTCGTAGAGACTTGCCTTGCACCCTGAGAACAAACATATGACGACGATCCACGTGACTTGCAATGGACTGAACCACAGGAGAGACATTTGAACTAAACTATAACCACAATTGTCACAAACAATATACAAATTTCAACAACATGGCATCCGCAAAACAAATTATATTTAACTTCTTAACTTCTATTTAACTGTAATAGCAGTAATACTGTGAAACATTATTACAACTGAACTATTTTATATTTTAATTTATTTTAAAATGTAATTTATCACTGTGATGGCAAAGCTGAATTTACAGCAGCCAGTCTTCAGGTTCACATGATCCTTCAGAAATCATTCTAATATGCTGATTTGCTGTACAAGAAACATTTCTTAGTATCATCAATGTTGAAAACAGTTGTGCTGCTTAATATTTTTGTGGAAACGGATAGATTTTTTTCCAGGATTTAATGATGAAAAGAAAGTTCAAAAGAATTGCATTTATCAGTAATATAAATTTTAATGCATCCTTGGTAAATAACGTATTCATTTATTTAAAACAAAAAAACAAAACAAAACAAAAGCTTACCTTGAGAAGTAGAAATATATTGACATGATGATTATTATGATTATGGCCACTGGGATAAAAATGGAAACAGCCACACTGGCTCCCTCTATACTGAAGTCTGCACTGGCCACTGATATGGGACAAAGTAACAAAGTATAGCAAATACATAAAATAAGTTAATCTGTATACCTGTGGTGACAAATGTATGTACATTTCTAATATTCAAAGGTTCTTACCATCCAGTCTGCGTTCATCTATGTACTCCAGTGTTATGGCTGGGAGAAAAGCGAGAGCTTTTAACAAATGAGAAAATGTTGCTTGTCATAGCAATTATTCAAATCAAACACTCCCTACCCTGAAGAGGAACAACATATCAATAAATAAACATCCACTGCAGACAGGAAAGAGACCTTATGTGAGTGATATAGTATGCAGATCACACATCATGAACACTGCAAAACACACAGACTACCTTTGCACTGCGGGGGTGGATGGCTCCATTTGGAAGGATGCCCGGGGACACAGCGGAGAACAAGCTCGCCCTGGAGCTCATACCCACTCATGCAGGAGAAGCGCACAGTTTCTCCAGCCTGATACACATGCTTCTCTGAGCTCTGAATGGTATAGGGAGGACTGCCGGGGTTCCTACACGGCTCATACGAATCAGCTATATAACACAAATATACACACATCCACAAATACAGATTAGGTAATTCTATACTAACTACTTCTGAATTTAGAATAAAATAAAATGAAAACGAATCAAAACAAAACAAAAAAAGAAAAAAAGAAAACAAATACAGATCAGTTCGTTCTAAACTACTACTTTCTCTAAACGGAGACTTTGTAAAGTAAAGAAAAGAAAACTAACCAAAACAAACAAACAAACAAAAACAAAACAAAACAAATATGATTTAGTTAGTTCTAAACAACCACTTCTGTAAATAGAATGAGGACTTGTAAAAAAAAAAAAAAAAAAAAAAACGAATAGAGGCAACAGTAAAGAAAACAAAACCAACCAAAAAAGAAAGAATATAATTTTTTTATTTGTTAGTAATAAACTATTGTTTTTGTAAATAGAATGAAACATCGAAAAAACAACAACAACCAAGCACAAAAGTATGGATTAATGATATACTGCTACTTTTGTGAATAGACTGAAACCTTGTCATCAAAAGAAACCAAAACCAAATCAAATCAAATCAAACCAAACCAAAAAAAAAGAACTAATATGGATTATTTTGTTTTATTCTATTATTTCTGTAAATAGAACGAACAAATTTAGAAAAAAAGTACAATAAAATAAAATAAAACAAACATTATTAAATGTTTCAGTGTTTACACTGTAAACTATACTGTGAAGACTTCATTGCAAGTTGATTAAATCATAAGTTTTATACAGTTAACACCCACTATGTGTGTCTGTCTGTTGGTGTGTATATGTGGGATTATTTGTGAACAAAATCATGTACTCACGAATGCATTTGGGCAGTTTCTCGCTCCACTTGGGGCCGGTGGAGTCGCGGTGGTAGCAGGAGAGGAGGCTGTTTCCTGACAGCGAGTAGCCTTTGTTACAGATGTACTGGACAGTAGAGCCCACGATGAGACGTGGGCCAGACATCACCCTGCGACTGTGCTCCACCGTGCCTGGATCCGGGCATGACAGGACTGGAAAAGAAATAGCAACAGGCCGGCCACAGAGTTTATTGTTTATACTGAAACAATATTGCATTTCTCTTTTGTTGAGTTTGGAGTTTGGAATGGTCAGTACTGTACACCATAGATCTATGATATATGAGTTTGTACATCAATAATGATTATTTTAATGGTTTTATAATGTAAGCATAATAATAAAATATGTAAATACATGAACATGGCAGTATAAACATGCTATTATAAGTCACACTTACATGACTTTACATTGCAATATTCAAGAATCTTATATGTAAGGCCAGGGGTCACCAAACTTGTTCCTGGTGAGTATAGCACCAACTTGCCTCAACACACCTGCCTGGAAGTTTCAAGAATACCTAGTAAGACCTTGATTATTTGGTTCAGGTGTGTTTGATTAGGGTTGGAGCTAAACTCTGCAGGACACCGGCCCTCCAAGACCGAGTTTGGTGACCACTGTGTTAGGCAATCAATGTTACTGTCAACTAATTAGTTGAATTGTATTGTAGTTCTCATTTTCACCTAAGGGTGACACCATTGACTTACATACAAATATTTGTTGAGCAAACACTGCTTTTGGATCAGAATGAACTTATAGCCATTTTACTTTGTGATTCATGCATTTAAAATTTATTTTTTCCATTTGACATGTTAGCTTGTTTTTACATTACAATTATGCATATAAATACCCAAAGCAATATATGTGGCATTTAAGATACATTTTAACAGTATGCTTTCTGGTTTCTCTGTTCTTCACCTTTCACATCATACTTGTGGTTCCACAAAATCAGAGTGCTAGGGGCCACTGCTCATCACATCCAGAAAGTATGAGGCAAGAAGAACATGTGACTTTGATCTCAGGGGCAGTGTACAGACACAGTGCACTATAATAAAAAGATTACTTCGCTCCAGCCTGCCCAGCTGCAAACCCAATTCTCTCCTCAGCAGTAGAGGAGCAGGAAAAGGGGACGGGAGAGGCGAGTGAGTTAATGATGTTTGCGTGGCAGGTGAGAAGCTTTGAACCGGATAATGGTCCCTGCTGCTTTTGGCCTACTGTTGCTGCTACTGTTTTTGTCAGGGACAGCAGCAGAACCTGGACCCCGGGGTCATTTGGTCTCCTGTCTCCTTATACTTGAAACGACGAATGTCTCTGGACGTCCTGGGAGCCTGCAGTGTTACACACTCACACAGAGTGAGCCCGAGCAGCACAATAGTCAGGTGACAAAATTTAATTTCAAGCACTGGAGTGACTTTGGCTAACAACAGTAAGTCGTGGAGGTGCTCTGATTTGAAATTTTGTTTTTGTATTTGTTGATGAAACACTCAGTGCATCAGCGGGACGTTATTCTGGACTCACCAGGGGGTGGAGAGCGAAATAAAAATTCTTGCAAAATCACAAAAATCACGTAAGATGGAAGCAAAGAGAGGAAGATGCATCAGACTGTGAAGTGAAACGATACCCACTTCATCCGTGAAGTCACCCTCGAAAGAAAAGTGAGTGATTACCCACAAAGTCCTCCACTTTTCGCCCGTCCTTGAATGTGACCGAGTTGCAGAGGCGAACAGGCACTTGTGAAATTCCCCCCTCAAATGGAATTCAAAAGCTCATCTTGTTTCGGAGCACAGCATTGCTCTTGATCAATAGGCGGTGCGTGTTGGTTTGGAAGTGGGGTGAAAATGGATTTTAGAGAGAGTGGTTATCATTGAGAGAGTGTGTGTGTGTTTTCACCTCTTTCACAGCTAGGCAAGTCTCCGCTCCAGGTCAGGTCCCACTGGCACATGAGCATTTCGGTGCCCACCACCTCAAAGCCTGGGTAACACTGATAGGTCACCACCGTGCCGTGTACCAGGTCAGGGTGAGATGTGGTCTTCCAGCCATTGGAGATCTCTGGAAGCTCTGGACAGGTGTCATTACGGGGAACCTCTGCAAAGAGGAACATTTTATTGCTCTGTGGTTGCTCTTTCATGGCTCAGAAGAGTTAATGTCAAGAGACAATTTTTTCTCAGAAATTTCTACAAAAAATACCTTAGGAGATTCAATTTCTCCTGAATGAGACAAATGAGACAATTGCTTACAGTGAGAGTATACAGCTAAATGAAATTAAGCAAATTTCTAAAATTTTCATCATTTAATCTGACTGCTTTCTAAGAGAAAAGACTGACATCTGTGAGATCTCATTTAATCTTATAATGTTTGAAAGATATCAATTGTTGGGGCACTCAAAAATGAATGCTTGTGATTTACTCATCCTGATATCATTCCAAATCTAAACGTTCTTCTCTAGAACATAAAAAAAGTTTTTTTTTTCAGATTTTTTGGTCCATATAATGGAAGTCATTGGAGCTCAGTGCTGTTTTAGGACACCACTGACTTTCATTATATGGACAAAACATTTTTCGAAATATCTTCTTTCGAGTTCCACAGAAAAAAGAAAGTCATTCAGGTTTGGAATGCCATGAGAGTGTGCAAATTATGAGGTATTTCTTTCCTATGAAGTGAGACTCAATTAGTTTGATTAGTAGAGCAAGAGTGAGGGAAAAAGAGACAGAATGTTCAGTAATGCTTGCAAAACAATTTCTTTGTTTCTCACCGTGTCCCTAAACAAACCACAGGTGTTGTGCCTAATGACTGATAAATCAAATGCTAGGAATCAGCTTGGCTGTGAGTATAAATTTGAATAGAGCAGCACAAGACAGCTGGCAGGCATTTTGCTGATGTCCATTCTTAGCGTGGCAGAGCTGGGGAGGGCACTGCACCCGGCAAATGCAGCTAATGAGTACAAACATGCACTGTAATTGTTAGCGCCTCTGCAAGGCCAAATCCCCTGCACACGCAGGAGCTGCTGGTGGAATCTTCCCTCTGTGCTGCGTGAAGGAAATGGAAAAACAGTCCATTTCAGTCCGCTCTATGAATCATCTGCATTTCTCCACCCTCCAAATAGAACTTATTATATTTTATCTGATCTTGTGCAATAGCTGATGGAATGACCTTCACTTCATCCCCAGGAAAGGTAAGGACTAAACCAGTTGTGGCTCTCACTCTTATAACCTCCCTCTCCCTATTTCGTCTCCTCATCACCTTTTCATCAGACTGAGATTGGCAATCACTGTGGCACCTCAAATAAATCTCAGAAGTAGACAATTAATGAGCTTCTTCAAACTAAATGTAGATGTTTGGGATCTGTAAGGATTTTTTCTCTTATGCTTCGCAAGGCTGCATTTATTTGACCAAAAATACAGTAAAAACAGGAATATATTGCAAAATATTGTAACAATTTAATACAACAGTTTCTTTCTGACTGTATTTTAAGAAATAATTTATTCATGTAATGGCAAAGCTGAATTTTCAGCTGTTTTTACTCCAGTCTTCAGTGTCACATGAAATCAGAAATCATTCTAATATGCTGATTTGGTACTTAATTATTAATGTTGAAAACAGTTGAGCTGCTTAATATTATTATTATTTTGTGGAAATCAAAATACTTTTTTTCAGGATTCTCTGATGAATAGCAAGTTCAAAACAACAGCATTTTGATCAGAAATCTTTTGTATCATTATAAATGTCTTTACTGTCAATTTTGATAAATTTAATGCATTCTTGCTGAAAAACAGTATTCATTTCTTTTTAAAAAATCTTACTGACACCAAACCTTTGAATGGTTACATGCTTGACGCTGAGAAAGTGCAGCAGAAATGGTTAAATAGGTCTTTACCGAAAAAGTGCACCACAAAGCCGTTGTTGTAGCCGTAGATGTTGGTAGCAGGGTCTGACTGGAACTGGATGGTCACATCAGCCATAGAGGTGTAGAGTTTGAACCGAGGACGGGAACCGCTGTACTGGCCCAGTACCTTTGCAGTCAGGTCATCTCCATCGTAAAAAGTCAGCATGTCATTCGTTCCCATGTGAAGACTGCGAGCAGATAATACAGTACACAACAGGTCAATCCCAGTCTAATCTCAGATGTTTAGGTCTCACCTCAAAGTAGTACCAGGGGCCCTGACAGATTTCTGATCTCCCCTCTTACTTGTCTTCCTCTAGTCCTTATTTTCCGGCCTCACGGCTCTTGTCCCTGCTGCAAATGAAATCTTTTCTGCTGTTTAATGTTTTCACACTGCTTTTGTTAAGCATTTTTGTGCATAGTTGCGAAAGCCTTGCTATCACAAACCACATTCATTTCACTCAGACTATAAAGAGCAAATGATTCAGCAGCGGGGGGAAACAACTCCTCCTATATCATGTTTGGAAATAGCTGGAAAATCAGTTTCCTGATATTCAGGAGCCAGAGAGAAAGAACATTTGGCAGCATCCCTGTGGCAAATTCAAGAGAATCTCCATCACGGACATGCTTTGAATTTAGTTGTGAAATTATTGTAGATTTGACATAAAAAAAAACCTTATTGCCATTTTAAATGACCATTTTTTCTAATTTATGAATTTATTAGGGTTAAACTTATACACATCCATGCCCTAGACATCATCACTTCTAAGTTACATTTTTTAAGTTTTCTATTCTTAATTAATTATAGTAAAATGTAATGCATTCCTGTGATGGCAATACAATAACATTCTAAAATAATAAAACTGAAAACATTTCAAGAAATTGAAAACAGTTGGGCTGCTTAAAATGTTTTTGTGGAAAGAATTCTATTATGAATATAAAGTTCAAAAGAACATCATTTATTTGAAATAGAATAAATAATAAACAATTAATTTAAATAAATAAAAATAAATAAATTGTACGTCCCCCCCCCCCAAATTTGAATGGTAGTTTATATTATATTTAATAGAAATATTAGAAGGAATTTTCAATAGTCACTAGAACTTGCTTTCCCCTCCATACTTCAGTTTTGGATCATATCAAGTATAAAAGCAGAAAGTTTAATTTTTTTAACCTGAGGGGAATCCAAGCCTATTGCTCAAAAGCCTGGGGAATATATGACCTTCAGAACACTTTGTAATGCCTTGAAGATGCCTGTCAGCCTTACACAAAGGTGACAAAAGCCCCAGTCTACAAAAGAAATGTCAATAAAAAGCTTTGCCTTGACATCATCTGCTTCACTGCTGCACAAATGATCAGCCTACACTACAAAATACAGACACATTGAGGCATATTACAGCATATATCTCTCTATTTCTATATGTGAATGTGATCTGTAACTGTGGCTGACGTCCACCAGACCCAGGCAGTCTGGCCAGCCACTGGTGGAGGGAGTGTGATTCAGTCAGGCAGGGAGGTGGCATACACACTCTATCTTGTCACTAATTAATCACAAGTGGGCAGTAATGGAAGTCATTACTGAGGAGAGGGGAATAATTAATCATATCCGTTCTGCTGCAGCACGAGGCAGAATGGTTACATTCAAGCAAAATGAAGACAGGATGTTTAAATTATGGCTTACACACCTGCACGAACACATACACCTACTGTTACATATGGATTGAATGTATATTATTCAACTGTCAACAGCCCTCTAATACTGTATGCAGGAAAATCTGTGTATGTATTTCCTCTGGGAGACACGTTTAAACCAGAAGAACTCCTGACCCGCTCTGAGGACCGGAGAGAGTGAAACTGTGTCAGCCCTTATTGGATTTGTTGTGATAAAGTTAAACAAGCCTTTGCGTAGCTGCACACCGTATCTGCCGAGAAAATCAATCATGCTTTCCATTTGCTGGCAGTAAATTCATTTTGTTTAATCACAAAAACAGGCTCAGCTTGACTTGGCCGACAACACAGTCACCATCAGAATGCATTAAACTCTCATATAGGGCTCGCAGACACGTCGTCCTCCTCTCAGCACAATAAAAAGGAAGTGACAAATGCTGGCTTTTTAAAAAAAGAAATGTCAATCAAAACATTCTCTGCATCTCAGACATGGTTAAAATACACTTCTGCTGGTGAAAGCCGTGAAGATGCCTTTGATTCTGTTTGCTTGAGAGATAAATGGGAGTATTTTATGAAGGATTTTGCATCTGCCATTTCTTTCGAAAACTAATACATTATGATCCATCATCTGTCACGCAAATCGAGCCTATCTGTAACTATCTGTAATTTAAATGGTTGACAGGCCACAACTGAGAACAACTGTTTTCATGCATCAGAGTGAACAAATTCTGAAGCCTGTCTTCCCTCCTCTGCCCCATGTCTGTTTAGCGGAGTGTTCTACCTGAATGATTGCCCTGCTGGAAAAAACACAATTTCCAATCAAATCCCCTGTGCCGAGGACTGGGCACGATGGGCCTGTGCTCGACATACCAACAACAGCTTTGCACCCAGGGCACAGTAACCCTGCTTGTCCTCGAAACTTACAGTTATTATATAAATCTAAATAAAAAAGTTGCACAGGTGTGCAACACAATAATTCAATCTAATTCAAATCTAATTTAAGTGGTATTTACAAAAAAGTATTCAAATGTAAAAAGTATGTCGATATACATATATACATATACTAGTGTAGGTCTAATTTCTTTTCTGAAAGTAGTCATAAAAATACAGTAAACCAGTGATAGTGTGAAATAGTATTACATTTTAAAATAATTGTTTTTACTTTTATATATTTTGAAGAGTAATTTATTTGAAAAATAAATATTTTGCCTGTACTGTCATTTTTGATAAATTTAATTAATAATTTCTTGAGAAAAAAGAAACAAACTTTGAACAGTAGTGTTTATTTGCTACTTGTCAAAAGTTTGGAATAATTAAAAATGATGAACATTTGATGATTTTGAAATAAGTCTCTTATTTTTTAAGTAATTTTACATTTTAAAATGTTAAATTAATTACGCTCACATTAAAAAATGTAATACCTATAATTCCTGATGGCAAAGCTGAATTTTCAGCAGTCATTACTCCAGTCTTTATATATATATATATATATATATATATATAGACTGGAGTGGGAGTGGTGATTCTACTTGGAATATAATCCACTATGGAGCCACAAAGATTCCAGATTGGCCTTTAGTCCACAGGACTAAACACAGGACTTCCCTGAGATTAAGCCCCAGTTACTTCTGCGTGAAGAGCCGTACAATGTTGGCACTAGGAAAAGCCAGTCAAACAGAAGAGACTAAACCTTCATTTGGATTGTCAACACTGGAGGATGATGCTTTCTCAAATAAAGGAGAGAAATTAGTTCCTCTGTTTTTGCAGAGTTCTTCTTTAATTAGAAAGTTAAATATCGGTCTGGGTTCTGGCTTGGTGCCTGGGGGGATGAGACAGCCTTGATTTATTACCAGCCTGTTAAGGGCTGTGACTCTCTGAGGTGCACGCAACCACCACGCAGAGCTCTGCAGCCAAACCCAAAGCCAAATGCAGGAGAAAATGAGAGAAACAATCATAAACAATTCAACAGCTCATGGTCAACTAGGACTATATCTAATTTAAATGGATTCAAATACAGATGCAACACATAAAAAGGCTGCTGAATTTAAGATTCACAAAGACATGAACAAATCCTTATGATTTGCATTGCACTTCCAATAGTGATTCCATTAGACATGGATCAAATAAAGTCCAGAAACAACAAAAACAGGAAGGTGGTACTTTAAGCTTGCATTTCTCCAATGGTAGGTATTCCCAAAATGTATGTACGGGCAATAATTAATAACATTTTTCCACATACATTTTCTAATAATTACTGGCATAATTAAATGCAACAAACTATGAATGTAATAATATATTATAGAGAGTACTGTAGTTAATTCGGTGTGAATCATGGTTGTCAAACATAAGCACAAATTATATACAATTTATATATGAATATGTTAGAGAACAACAGTGCTGCATGGTGTTCAGTGACTCTTTCTACTGGTTACACTGTCATGCCAGTATGTGGTAACAATTGTCTGTCTTTAAGAGTCATTTGAATCAATAGTTCAACAGATTTGTTCAAAAATGGTAATTCATTCATGAAAGAAACAAGTGACTGACTATATGAGTGAGCCATTGAATTATTAACTTAACCGTTTAGTTCAAACACACATATTCATTAAATAAATTTAAATTCTAATATAATAAAAAACATAAATTAAATATATTATATTATAATATAATATATTATTATATAAATATTTTAATAAAATAAAGAATATATATATATATATATATATATATATATACTGTAAATATAATGTAATTAACAGCTGAGTACTGTAGTTAATTCGGTGTGAATCATGGTTGTCAAACATAAGCACAAATTATATACAATTTATATATGAATATGTTAGAGAACAACAGTGCTGCATGGTGTTCAGTGACTCTTTCTACTGGTTACACTGTCATGCCAGTATGTGGTAACAATTGTCTGTCTTTAAGAGTCATTTGAATCAATAGTTCAACAGATTTGTTCAAAAATGGTAATTCATTCATGAAAGAAACAAGTGACTGACTATATGAGTGAGCCATTGAATTATTAACTTAACCGTTTAGTTCAAACACACATATTCATTAAATAAATTTAAATTCTAATATAATAAAAAACATAAATTAAATATATTATATTATAATATAATATATTATTATATAAATATTTTAATAAAATAAAGAATATATATATATATATATATATATATATATATATACTGTAAATATAATGTAATTAACAGCTCATGAACAGCATGACATGAACAGCTCATTAAATCATGTCGGTCTTGCACAGCTGTGCACTATAACTCCAGTAGAGGGCTGTAGCCCTCATGGGAATCCCGGACTTTGACTAGCTCTGATATATCCAGAATTCCCTGCTGTGCAGCTAAATCTATGAAAGACTGTGTGCAGGTGTGCCAGCTGTCACCTGTGCACCTCTCTCCCCTCTTTCTCCGATTCATGGCACATTCAGCATGAGAAACCCTACCTGCTAAATGAATTCATCAGCCTTCATTACGCCCCATGTTCTCAGGTAATTGGG